ACAAAACGAATAAATACGACGATTTGATGGACTTTCCGCCAATTCCTTCTTTAAAAAAAGCGAACCAAGCGAATAAATACGATGATTTCCGTCGAGAGTGGGTGCGTCAGCGCCGAGCCCGCATGGACTGGCAAGCCATAATCAATCCATGTCATGACAATATGGCCTGGGGAAAAGTGAAGGCCGGCTGGGAAAAACCTAACAGAACCAATGCCTCTACGAGTGAGATAATATTTCAGGACATCAGGCCTGCGGGAGAGTATAGTAAGATTTTCATCCAATCAAAAACGTCGGATAATATAACGAAAGTCATTGGTGGAGACTTTTGGAGGGTCTACGTACGTGGTCCAGCAAACATTGCGGCGACTCTTTTTGATCACAATAATGGAACTTATGAAGCTCTGTTTCTTATCATGGAACCTGGTATCTATCAGCTGTTAATTTATCTGGATTATAGTCTGTGCGATGGATTCAAGGATCCACCACGTGACTGGTTTATTAAGGGCAATGCTCAAGGGAAATTTCAGCGGGAGGGTCTTCTAGGCCCTCTGGATGATTACTTGTTCCAGCCCCTTCAGAGCGGAAGGCCTTTGGAGATAAACGTAACAAAGGCAGAGACGAACTTTTCATTAGATGGTTAGTAACTTGGCAGACGGAAAACACAATTTTACCATTAGCCGGTATGTAATAACCTGGCAGCGTTTACCGCGAAAGCGCCGTACAAATAAATCTATCGCTTAGAGCGCTTTTTGATTGAGTGTCGCAAACCGATATCAACGTAATCACAACGGCCAATCAGATGAAAGGCAATATTCATGAGCAGCCAATGAGCGCTCAAAGTGAAAATACACAAACATCTTCAAGCGCGGGAAACACGTTACCAATTTGCGATTGGTTTTGGCTTTAAATCTGATTGGCCGAGAAAGTAGCGCGGACCAATCACATAGCAAAGTAAAAGAAAACCAAAGGAATCTCAGATTACTTCAACAACGTTGTGTATAACTTAAATTTCAATTTTTTTTTCTTGCAACTTTGTTCTGTACAGACAAACTTCATTCTCTAGAGTCGTGCTCTTCGGCATGTAATAACTTGTGGGATGGATTTGGTCGGTGGAAGAATAACAAATGGCGGCCATACCTTGAAGGTAAGAACTCATTCGTCATTGGCGAAGCCAAATTGGAAGAACAAGCAAATATGTATTTACTTTGCTGGCACTGGTTTGTAATCAGTTTTGATAGTAAGACCTAGACGCAAAGCGTATTGTAAATAATCAAAGAATCCCTTACTTCATTGAATATTTGCCTTCTTACAGAATCATACAACTGGTCTCTACCAGCAAATTACAGCTCTTCTGGAACTCTTTGGGTGTATGGTGATTCATTGGCGGTTCGTCTGTATCTTTCAGTCAGCTCTCGAGCCCTATGTAGAAAGCTCTACTTAAAATGCAAACACAGTTATAACTGGCTCTATCCAATAATTAACGAGCAACAGAGCAAGACGAAAAACGATAACCTCGACTTCCGTGCTGGGGAGGTTTTGAAAGCCATTCGAAACGTTCTTAATACGAATGAATTACAGCAGCCTTCCAGTGTATTACTTTTAAACCTTGGACTTCACTATACTACCAACATCAATTTTACAACTTTCCAGAAGCTCATCGGAGAAGTAATAAATTTGTTGAAAGAGACACAAGTTGACTTACAAGGCAAAGAAGTTCCAAAGTATAAGGCCAAGATCATTTGGAAATCAACTACAGCTTTGTGTAAGCACAATGGAGCGATACTCAACCCAACAAATAATAGATTCCTTACACCGCAGGTTTGTGCATATTTAAAGGCAATCTCTGTATCGATGACCATAAAATTATAGCAGTCTTAAATTCAAACATTTGATCACCTTATTTTGTCTTATTTTATTTCTTTTTCAGCGAGTTCTTCTATTCAGCGCCTACGCCATGTCAGCCATGTGTCAAGCGAGTTTTGACGTCATAGACGTATACCCAATGACAGATTCGTATCCGGGGGGTACTTTGGCAAATGACGTCGTTCACTATCCAAACAAAGTGTTTAATACCTTAGAAACGCTTTTAGAGAATTACAAGGCTAACAGAAATCAAAGAATAGGAACAGATGATAGCAAGAGAAGAATTGGGAGATGTACCAGCTGACGAAAAAAAAGACTGAAATGGCAGTCTTTGGCATGGCCTTGCACGCAAATAATTTTTGCAAAGAATGGGTTTGAGTTATTCCCAGCTTGTGTCTGACATGGCCAATACGAGACATGTATTTTCTTTGCCAGAGGTATATTTGGAAATTTGGTTCGGGTTATCGGAGTAGGTCGGTTATTCTTTCATTTTGTAGTCCCCTTGCCTAAAGGGAGTCGTTTGATTTGTAAGATTTTAGTTGTCTGGTAGATCTTAAGCCTCCCTTGTTATTCAAGGTGTAATGAAACAAACTTTTGTTTGGGACACTGGCGTTTTGGTAAGGAATTTTGTCTTTAATTTCAGCAAAGTCGATTCCGGTTTGAAAAGAGCATTGTTGCCGAAAAGTCATCAGACGATTGCAAGAGGTTTGCCTCCCAGAATTCCCTCGACCATGCGAAATTTTGAATGCGTGCACGTGCTATTTGTAATTCGCACTCGTGTTACAACTTTTCACTCGTGTTACAGGAGAGTACACTTGTTTTCAGCCAATAAGAAGAGCGTAATTTTTTCATGTAAGTTAGTAGGTCTGAAATCATATGCATTATTTCAAAATAAAACGAGTGCACACAACAGGCTTAGTCCGCTAACACGAAGTTTAGACACCATTTTCTTACATCCGTTTTGAAATCGCAAAATTCAGTCGCTCAGATGCAGGATTTTAAAGTCTATACAAGTATATTTTATTGATCCAGTAATTGGTTTGTAGAAAGTTGCAAAAATTGTTTTTCATTTTCTTGCAATTTGTTTTTTTCTTCAAACAAGCCTTAAAATCTGATTGTTTGTCGTATTTTAGCAAAAGTTCCTCATTAGTTGGGAAATAGCTGTGATTTATTTTAAAAAAAATGGTGCGATTCGCCCATTAAGCACGCCAGTGCGAGCCAATCAGATTACAAGGATCAACAATGATTTCAAAATGGGTGTAACAAATAATTTAAACGACTTTGACACAAAACACACATGTGGATGTGGTACATATTTTCATATCATTCTCATGGTTTCTCTTTAAACAAAAAAAATATAAATAAATAATAAATAATAATAATAACAATAATGATAATAATAATAAAATAAAAGTTAAAACAGAGGTAAGCATGGAGTACTAACAGGGGTAACACTCGCACTTCCTCTGCCGTCTTTGAAATGACTATTTGGGGTTCTCCCCCAATCTAGTAAATCAGAGTTCTCTAGGAAAAAATTTGAATACATTTTCGTTCAAATTCGTCCAAGTCTAACAGACTAACAGATATAATTTATGAATACCCGAGGGCGTTTGAGGACGTTTTGTTTATAGATACCCCTTTGTAATAAACCGTGAAAAACTAGTTGTCGGTTGTGGTAGTTATCAACGTTCTGTGAATGGCATGGTGATGCTTTTATGTCACTTATTGAATAGGATGTAACAATCTGACTCCTCTACCTACAGGTGCGATTTTCTCGCTCTTTGAGCGATGATTTTATTAGCAATAATGTCCGCGGCGGAGATATTGTACGTGAAATGAAATTTTGGCCGAGGAGCAAAGCTTCGAGGGCAAATCTGGAGAAATCTTGCTTGATGTGTTGCATTTTGTGATTATTTTTTATAACATATAAGGTATGAGTTTTTTTTCGGAAGGGTAGTATACGGACGTCGCTGTGCAATTTCGTAGGAAGCCATTTAATTTTTCAGTTAGCGTCAGTGAACTGTAAACGCCAGAGCAATGAAACCAGCCATGCTAAAAAATATTCGCCATCACTGAAATTACAAAACTTTTTGATAAAGTTAGGTCTATGATTTATTTTTCAAATTCAAGCCAACAACCAAAATCAATGATGTAATGCTCTCAATACGCGTTAGTTGAGTTAATGACGAATACCAGAAACTCAGAATGAAAAGTTTAATGTAAGAGCACGTACGCTGCCTATTGATACATATTAAGCAAGATTTTAACTTTCGAAAGTCCAGATATTGTTCAAATTATTAAACTTTCATTAAAGAAGTTTTCTTCGTTGTGATTGCCTAGCACGCATCAGTTTGGTAGTTATGTTTAATCGCTTGATGGCCGAAAGTTCTTAGTTTTCATTAGCGCTAGTTGCTGCTCATGCCAGATTTCACATGACAGCACCTCTTCGTAACCTTATTGACTTCATATTGTGGACCTTTCGTCGCTTTTACGACTAAATCAGTTAGCAATAATGTGAAGACCCCACTTTCCATAGCAAAACAGTTGTCTCTTTGTTCCAAAACAAAAAGGCACCTTGATGGTTGACCGAGAAGGCCTGGAAGATAGCACGATACATAGTCACGTACCAGTCTCCCAAAAGCAAGGCGGTGGAATCCCGATCACACAAATACCATTATCTTTCGTAAGAAACAGTACAAGAATAGTTTTGTTCTAACCAATACATCTTCTAATACCACCCTCCCCGATGTTCACTCGCATATTGTCATTTGTCTTGTATTTCTCCAGCATTGTCTCCATTAGATGGAAAACTCTGTCGGGATAATGAACCTCATCCAGCGTACCCCTTGGATACGAGTCGGTCATTGGATAGACATCTATGACGTCAAAACCCGCTTGACACATGGCCGACATGGCGTAGGTGCTGAACAGAAGAACTCGCTGGAAAAAAAAATGATTGAGCATCCTGCATGGTTGATTAAAAAAAAAATTGATAAGGTCTACATCACTTGTGATCAATTGCCAGGCGGGAGGATTAATCTTTTGCCAATAATCTCGGCACCGACTTGATATTTTTCTATATGGGATAAGATTTGTGTCCATTATGTTGCTAAATGAAGCCTTAAACAGTGAGTCAGAATTAATTTTTTTTACTACCACTATGTACTTACTTGAGTAGTAAAAAATCTCCAGTTAGTCTTATTTTTCATCTCCACTTTTTCTTTGTGAATAGCTGTCGATGATTTCCAAATAACCTTTGCAGGATACTTTGGAACCCTATTTCCCTGTGAGTCGATTTTCGTTTCCTTCAAGACATTTATAAGGTCTCCAACAAGCCTCTGGAATGTTGTAAAATTGATACTAATCGGAAAATGAATTCCGAGGTTTATGAGTAGAACACTGTCCCTTCGTTGCATCTCGCGCCGCCGCAAAACATCTACAATGGTTCCTATAACCTTTTCAGATGAGAAGTCTAAATCATCGTTCTGTTCTTTACTTAAAGCTTCGCTCATCACAGGGTATATCCAGTTGTAACTCTGCGAACATCTCCAGTAAAGACGGGTACAAAGGCCACGCGACTGAACAGACTTCCCCAAACGGACAGCAAGAGAATCCCCGTACACCCAAAGGAAACCAGCCGGCTGATACTGTTGTGGCATCGACCAGTCATAGGAATCTATTTTTAAGCGAGAAACAATAATAATAAAAACACATGCATTGCATTGAAATCATCGAACCCCTAAACAGCTAACACGGAACGAAAAATGTATTCTTTATCCATTCCCAATAATTCTGTGGAAATCAGCGCTAATCTGAAGGGAAAGAAGACTGTCAGAGTGCTAGAAATATAATTTTTATTCTGGTCTCAACAAACTTAAAAAACCAATGTGTGATTTAAGAAACTAATATCTGAGTCGAAGGTAGTGTCTGATTTTAGACACTAGAGTCCGATTTGAGACACTCGTGTCTGAGGTTGGAAATCATCGAAACTACAAGAAAGTTCTCGAACGTGGTTGATTATCACCATCCCAAACTGAGCTTTAATAGGACAGTGAACGCCTCGTGCTTGTAATTGGACAGTATAATTGGACAGCCTATTCGTCGTGCCTGTATAATTGGATGGTACGGATCCTGTGTATACGCTGTTGTCGCGCATTTAGCCGAGGTAACTGTTGTTTTTTTTCTGAAAAAGTATGGCAGATGGCTAGTTTGTTTCTCAACTTGAGTCATGATGTAATTGATTGGTAACAGGACTTCGTGTCGTCCAATTTTGTCTGCAATTATACTCGTAATAAACAAATCGGACTTCCTCTTCGCAGTCACCCGATTTTGTCAATCACTAATATGATTTCAAACCGAGGTGGACTCCACTCAGTCCTACTACTACGATTACCTAGTGTCCGGTTTTAGATACTAGTGTCCGATTTTAAATAATAGTGTAGGATTTGACACTTGCGTTTGATTTATGTCTTAAGTTGACTGATTTTGGGCACTAGTGTCCGATATATAAAAAGATAGGTTCTACATGGCGCGAAAGTATGCACGGATATTTGTTCGCGGACATTATCTGTTCTAAAATGCGAAGAGTTTTCCAAGAGCGAAGCCTGAGGAAAACTCAGGAGGGACATTCTGTACATGAAGTTGTCAATTATGGCATTAGGTGGCGTTTTTTATCGTTTTTTTTTAATAATACCCCTCATCTGCGGAACTTGTTTTAACTGGTCAACCTGTATTAAGCGGTCACCAAGCAATAGGGGTGAATGACTTAATTTTTTTTTCAAGTTATGATCGAGCTTAGTAAAGCAAAATCAATGCGGGCCCCGATAATTTTCGACACACATTTAGTATTTACTCTCTGTATATTGATATCATCTCACTTTTGTCATTTTCTCACCATCAAGAAACGGCTTCCACTCATCATTTTTCCATCGACCAAATCCATCCCATAGGTGACTGCAGGTGTACTTGCACGAGTCCAGATCCTTCCTGAGGTGTTCTTGAAAGAGGAAACGAAAAAGAGGTCACCGTTACAACAATTTATTAAAATTTGACTTCTTTATCTCTTTTTCCTGGTGAATTGGGGAGAAAACGGTATCAAACACGTAAGTTAATTAGTGGCTCGATAATTTTTATAACTATGACTGTTTTTAATTTTCTGACATTCCTTTGAAGCTAGTTTGCAGTGCATATGTCACGTGCTTTGCGTTTCACCTGAATGCAATGAAAAACGTTGCTAAAATATCTCGAAAGGAGATCTAAGGTTAGAGTTCATAAATCACTCAAAATAGTCCCCATTCATTCACAGCGGCTTTTTTGGAGATTTCCTCTTTGTAGCTGACTTTTCAGAGGGATGTAAAATGCCATGTTCAAATAAGCATTATCTGAACGACTGGTGACAATACATACCATCCCTCCCTTACCGTTTCAATCCAGCAAAATTAACCTGTTATGTAACCAAGTTACTTACTTACCTATCAGAGACATGTTGAGCCGCGATTCTGGTACATTTATAATGATAGGATTCCCATTCTGAAGGGGCTGTATCAAGTAGTCGTCCAGAGGGCCCAAAAGCCCATCTTTCTGATACTTTCCCTGAGCATTCCCTTTTATGAACCAGTCACGCGGTGGGTCCCTGAATCCATCGCATAGACTGTAATCCAGGTAAATTGTCAACTGATAGATACCTGGTTCCATGATAAGAAACAGAGCTTCATAAGTTCCATTATTGTGATCAAAAACAGTCGCCGCAACGCTTGCTGGGCCACGTAGGTAGACCCTCCAAGTATCTCCACCAATCATTTTCGTTCTATTTTCTGAGGTCTTTGATTGAATGAAAATTTTGCTAAACTCCCCCACAGGCTTTATGTCCCAAAATATCACATCACTGGTAACTGCGTTAGTTCTGTTCTGTTTGCCCCAGTGACTCTTTACTTGTCCCCAGGCCATATTGTCAACGCACGGTTGAATCATACTCTGCCAGTCTACGCGTGCGCGACGCTGACGTAACCACTGGCGTCGGAAATCTTGAAATTGACGAGAAACGAACGAATCTTTAGTGTCGCTCTGAATTACCTCTATAAAGTCCAGATCAAAGTTCTCCTTTTCAGAAATTGAAACCGGAGTTGAAATATTTTCCACGTTACGTCCTGAATCCCTTTCAAACGGCAAATCATTTTTCCTGGTATTGAAATAGTCGGTATAGTTTGTTGAATGGCTGCTGTAGTTATCAAACTGGCTTGTACCACTTCCTCCACCTTTTGAAACAATTGATAAAACCTTGGATTTTTCAATACTCTTGTCCTTTGACTCTCGCCAACTGTAACTATTCACCATTCCGAAAACACCTGGTCTTAATTTTCGACCCCTCAATTTTTTCTGCAATTTCTCAAATAATTCATTTGGCGAGGATGAAATTTTTTCAGGCGATAATGTCTTTAGCGGTCGAAATGCATTTTCGTGAATGATAGTTGCGGGAATAGGTACACCATAATCTCTCTCGTCTGTTAAGTAATACCGGAAATAGAAATAGACTACCGCGCAAGCGCAAATGTAGCAAACAATAAAGCGCGCGAGACTGGGTCCGAGGATTCGACTTTGCCTCATGGAGACGTTCTGTATGTCAGCTCGCAGATTTCTCACGGTGAACGTTCCCATCAGAAAGATTCCTCATTTCAACCAGGTCTAATATCCTTGGATAAGATCGAATTTCACAACGGAGGTAAATTTCTGTGAATCTGTGAAGCAAAGTGAAAATTGCAGTGTCAAACTGTGGTCGGCTATAGAGGACCGCTCATTATTTATTGCCCAGCAATAAATAATTAATGATCTCTCAGCCTTGAGAGAATTTGAAAACGCTTACCGGGTGGTAATGAAGGAAAGGCAGTGTTTCACCTTATGCATATAAAGATAAAATAAATACGTCTTATCAGACGTTTTGGTGTGTAGTATCGCTGAGTATTACGAGTTGTGCCATATTTTGACGAGCCTGATAAATTATTTATTATCCAACTGCTTATTTTTGTGCTAAGTCTTTCTGTTCATTTCTCATAAGGCGGAAAAAGGAAAGCGGATGGAGAAGCGAATCGCGCGCAGCCGACTTGTTAAACAGGTTTTTTTACTATATTAAAGTTCACACGGCAACCAGGTGGTCAATCAGAAATGGTTTGATGCTACTGTGGTTTATAGATTTAATGAGCGTAACCGAAGAAGTTACAATTCATAGACCCAACGTTTCGACACTCCCGGTTTCGACACAGGAGTGTCGAAGCGTTGGGTCTATGAATTGTAACTTCTTCGGTTACATTCATTAAATCTGTAAACCAGAGTAGCATCAAACCACGTCAGGTTTTTTTACATTACAAAACAACCAATAACCTTTAAATATTTCAATCCTTTCCAAAACACCCAAATCACCCACTCCCCCTTCTTTTTCTACCATCCACAGCGCGTGCTAACGAAACGGTCTCGAAGCTTAGGGTTAGGGTTAGGGTTAGATAAATAAAAAGAAATTAGAATATACAAGGACCTGTCTTGTTATCTTCACAGGCCCTAGAATAAACATCCCTATGGCAACATAACTGATAAATTTTCGTTACGAAATGTGTTGAAGCTGTAAAGTGTAAAAGGTAAAAAAGAAAATCTAGAGTCTTAAAATGTTAACTACAGGTTGAGAGTAAACAAATCCAGACGCATGCAGTTAGTTCATTGATCGGGTAATTTGAATTGTTATGACTTCAAATTTTGTGAACATACTTGAACCCCCCTATTTAACGAAAAGGTTGTTTCTTAACTAGTATCCAATTCTACATTTTGAATTGCATATAGTTCTAGGGAAAATGATTTACTTTACAGCAGAGGAAGATCCATATATCTAAGATAGCAAAATCTGGAATTAGCTTGCTATGACGTCGCGAATAAGACAAAAAAACAAAAACAAAAATGTTAATACTTCAACCTTTGATAAACATAATCTAGAGCTGTTTTGTCTTCGACTAATTCTTTCTGATATAATGGAATAATTTTCCAGTTAGCCCCAGTTGCTTTCATTGCCAGATTACAAATGGTTCGAGCCTTCTCTTGCTTTACCACGACCACCGAAAATAAGTCAACATGTATAGAAATATTCCTATAGAACACACGGGTAACTTTACTCACCAATCGTTAATTAAATGTGAGTTCTGTAGTCCATAGCATAAACATCTTTAACAAAAACATTTTTCGATCCGTCCTTGCGTTGTAAACGAACTCTTGGTAGACAAAAGCTTGCGGGTATTTAATTGTATTAACCTGCACGTGTCCAGTTCTGCTTTTTAGAATAAACTACCTGTTGGAATGTCGCTTTTTTAGGCAGTACCAGCTTCTGAGTTCAAGACTCGTTTCCGGCTGCGGTGCTAATGCTAACTTTACATTCAGTTATCCATTTTGTTGTTACTATTAGGAGATCAAGCGATTATATTTTTGACAAATTTTCTTGGATTTGTGTCAACGTCTGAGCAACCACGTACCTACCCCTCCCTTATCCCAACGACAGTCAAACTGATAACAAGTTTGGGGAGGGGTCGGTGTGCAGTTTCTCAGGTACTGACATCAACCCGTTCACTTTAGCAGAGAGGGTTGAAAAAAAGGAAAATTATGCCCATGTCGAAAACCTTAAATTTCAACCTTTGAACAATACTTCATGAAAACATGTCACGTATGAATTTTGCAGAGAAGAGATTTGACAAGATACCAATCTCGAGCCCAGGATCATTTTGGCTCCTTGCCAGCGGTATGGTGGTCATCACTTCCAAGGTACATCACTTACCTACAGTGGCCCACAACTGTCGCGGCAAAAGAAATAACCTCGCAGCAAAAGAAATAACTTTTGTCGCGAGGTTATTTCTTTAACTTATTCTTTTTGCCGTGAGGTTTTTCCTTTTGCCGTGAGGTTTTTTCTTTTGTCTGAGTCTTTTTCTTTTGCCGTGAAGTTTTTTCTTTTGCCGTGAGTCTTTTTCTTTTGCCGTGAGGTTTTTTCTTTTGCCGTAAGGTTTTTTCTTTTGTCTGAGTCTTTTTCTTTTTGCCGTGACAGCTGTAGGGGTAACCGTACTTACCTCTTACTTGGCGACCATACCGCTGAAAAGGAGCCAAGGAGGGTGGGGGTTCAAATTGTGCGTTTTGCTCAGTGTACACCTTACACAATTATCCTAGAATGTCGCCCCTATTGTAAATGGGGCAGTGTTTATAATGTCCATAATCGATATTGGAACATCTATCTTGGGGCCGTTTTTTGTGGAAAGGTAGTGAACCTGTACATTTTTGTCATGCTAATTACATTCTTATTTCTGACAGAGGTACCTCCCCAAAAGTCTTTTGAGGAGTGAAGGGAAGGGAGGGGGGGGGGATGGAAAGGAGAGGTGGGTACAATGCAACTCTTCTTTCATCCTATTAACTTACATGATGTATGATCTTATTTGTCATAGAATAAATATTGTTTAACCCTTTACATCCTAACATCAGTCTCAATATTCTCCATAATCTTCTCTACACATTCCCCATGGTACTGATGAGAATTCATTTGGCAATAAAAGCTTCCTACGTTGGTGGTGATCATTTCCTTAATTCTTATTATCTCAATGAATGACTTAGCAGTATTACTGTAGGGAGAAATTAGATGCTGGTCACTCTAGGGGTTTAAAGGGTTAAGAAACTTTAACATGCTGCCATTTTCTAACAACAACCTCCAGGCACAGCTGAAATATTAAACACAGGAGAAAAACAGAGAATAGCACACAATAGTTGTATTTTGGCTTGCTGTCTTTTGGCTGTTTGACAAAGAAATTTTAAACAATTTTTTTGGTACAGTCCTTCTTTTGATGATCATGCTTTTGTTCTCTATCTAGTGTCATGAAATTCAGTTCATAGTTGCAAAAATATATAAGTTATTGTTTTTAAAGACCAGCCATAGCACAATGCAATTCCAGAGTTTTCATTAATCAATAAGAGATGGGTTCTGAGCAGAGACAGCCTTGGTCTTTGCCAAAAAAATATTAATTACCTGAAAAAAAAAAAAAAAAATGAACAGCAACAGTAACTTTACAGGTTGTGTATTGCAGGATCAATAAATACAATAACAGACTGAGTGGTACAATCTTAGTGAGAAACAGTAACTACATATGACCATAGCAACTGAACACGAGTTTGAGATCAGTGTCCTTTTTTACTTTCACCACTACCTTCTCTATTGTAGGATACACTAAATATTTATGATACATTCCATGTTTTCAAATTTCTTCATAACTGTGGCAATCTAGTCAACAACAAGCTCCACCATTTCTATTTCCTCAAACTGAGATTTCATTTCAGATACCCAGTTGTCATCCTCTAAATCCTATGAAAGGAAGAAAAACAAACACCATCTGTTACTTTAAACAACTGCAATGAATAGTGGAGAAGAAAACCAGGTAACCTGGAAAGAGTACCACAAGGTTAAGTATTGCAATTATATCTCTTTTCATTTTGTACCATACCTGCTGGGTTTGTACCCTTTTTCCAGAAACAAATTTCAAGGACTTTTCCAGGGCTCAGATTAACTTTTCCAGGACTCAAATTGAATTTTCCAAGACTCCAAATTCATCTTAATTACTTTTATTCTCACTGAAGATTTCAAAATCAATTCTTCTTACAGTCTCTATACATATCTTAACATGTAAATTCTGAAAACTTTATTGCTTGATTTAGGCAGATTTCCAGGACCTGAAGGTTTTTTTTCCAGAACCTTCCAGTCCAGAAAAGTGTCAAAATAAAATTCCAGGACTTTCCAGGTTCTCCAGGACCCATATAATCCCTGTATCTGGGATACAGAAGCATGAATTCATGTCTGTTAGACTAGACAGTAAATAAATTCACTTCAAGTACTTTTCTTCTTTCTTAATCCTCTTACTTTCAATTATTGAAACCTTGTTTCAGCCACTTTATGCAGTGTTCTCTTTCTCAGATGGCAACACTCAAGTTGACTGGATGTAGTACCTCTTATTAATGCCTAGAATTGCCTGGAGTAAAAGAATTGCCAAGTAAAAGGATTGCTCTACCCTCTTGGAAATTTCTTTCACCTGTCATGCTTAAAATATGGAAGAACACTGCTTATGCATTGCATCTAGATCTAAATGGCTTGATTTTTGAAAATAGAAGTAGAGGCAGTATCATGCTTTTTATTGCAATTGGGCTCAAATTAACTTTTGGCATTTTAATTAAGGAATTTTTTTAATACCACAATGCAAAAATCACTATGCAGTACTTTAACACCTGTGCAGTAAACATGTTGACTAGTAAAAACCAAACTTTCCATCTCTCTTATAATTCTATCTAAAAATAACATATCTTACCAAAATTTTAGTTGTTTTCTTTTTCTTTATCTTCTTGGTGGGTTTTTCAATTGGTACATCAAACACTCTGAGGTCAGCTTTCCTCTTTCTTGGAGAAATAGATGTAACTGATGATGACACAGAAACAGACCCAGGAGACCTAGCAACACACTGAGGTGGCACTTTTGGTTCTCCAACAGGAGAAAAGGTAAGAGGAGAGGCCAAGTCATCAAACCCATAACATGAACTGTACACACTTCTTTCTGGTTGTATGCTTGGTGTGGAGTGTTCTGGGTGAAATAAGTGTGAACAGGATTGCATGAGCTGTTGCTCCAAAGGAATGTTTTGATCCACAATCATGGATGATAAGATCCCCTGTTCAGGTTCTGAATCTGCATCGTATGGGTCAGCATCTTTTTGTTGAAACATGGACCTTGTTTTTCTTGTGTTGCTTGCATTTTCTTTGTCCTGAAGAGTATAAAGGAAAAATCTCAGATTACACAGAGAACAAGAAATTTCTTGAAAGGGTGTTAGGAAATGGACTGCGTGACTGTCATGCTGTGAAATTGAACTTTGTTCCT